TTTTCATCTTGCCTGCTCCTAAAAAAATACCTAATGTCCCTACAAGTTTCTTCCTAAGAATTAAAGTTAGCTTATTTTCTATTTGTGAAATTAATTTTAATCTTATTGTTATTATTATCTTTATTTCATGGGATCTTAAGAATTATTGCGTTTTCCAAGTTTAATGATAAGATGTCATTCAAGTGTTAATGCTCATGCACCGAAATATATTGATTAAGCCAGTAAGTGATGGGAATATTGCATAATCCTCTCCTTATTTTTGCTTATTTTATAGTTATTATATCATTCCCAGGTCTAAAAAACTAATCCGTCAGATATATAATTAAGTGCAAAAGTGGTATAACGTCAGCAGAATCTGTAACGAATACTGCTATGTTATAACAGCACAGCTATGGAATAATAAATAAAATGTAAATAAACAGTTATTGACTACTAACCAATGGATTCAACAAATTATTTGATATACTTATAGCGATTTAATTAATACATGTTAAAATACGTTACTATTTGAGATCGATATCGAAGCGATGCACAGTTAGCGTGATTAAAACTTTCGATGTGTCATTTAATGTTTATTTAACCTACTTTAAATCCCCCAAGGCGAGATCAGATTGCCTTCAATCCAACAGGCATTAAATTAAAGCGTTATCCTGGTGTAATACACTTGGGTTGCGACAGCTAGGAGATTGCTCTGTATTCATTTCGTGCACGACTTTGAAATGTCCTTTAAGTGGGTAGCAACGGTTCAAGTGGCGATTTAAAAATCCATTACCAAGGTCTGAAGTAAGTTGTAAATTTTATTTCAGTATCTCTGCATGTTGACTTAACGGTCTCTCTTCACGTCTACCTTTTCCCTACGTGCGTTGACTCCGGAGACGTGTTAAATGGATTATCAGAGATATTTGTTTGATTTCACGGCACTAGAGCAAACTGGAGAGACCGACGTTGAACTGAATCAAAATGGATTGTTTTAAAGCTGAAGGTCGGGTTCGTAAGCGGTAGTTTACTTTATAAACATTTAGAGAAGTATTTGAAGTTTATGCATCAGGTAAAAGAGACACATGAACCTATATCAGGATAGCGATTGAGCACCGTAAGAGTTAAAGCCAGTAGGTATTAAAGTCTAGGAATTTAAATTTATGTCTATGTAATAAAATTTGTGTATTATTTCAAATTAAATACGTTATTATAGTTTCGTTTGGTTTATTTGATTATGCCGAAGCACACGAAGGATATCTGCCTAAAGGGAGGGATGTGTTCGAGGAAACCTTTCTAAGAGAAACTGGGTTGTGTTCACGTTACACATGAAGAAAGCCACGAAAACGTCCATGCATCCAGTCCATTCGCCGAAATTCGAACTCTGGATCGAACTACCAGTTTCAGCGATTTTACCGCTCGGCCGCTGGGTGCCACATAATTGTTCCTTGCGATATTTAGCTTAGATCATTCTGCAAAAATGTTTTAATATTAAAATAAAATTTTCAACTAGAGATTTTCAAGAAGTGTATCCATGTCAATTGCATGGCATTTGAGTTGAGTTGAATACAAATCTCTCACAACCATATGAGTTTTAAATTACTCCGTAAAAAGCAACTTGCGAAAGTTTCATTTCGTATTTTCGAGATTCTGTTTTCTAGTAGAAGATAATGACTAAACAGGACAGGACAACCGAGTTTAACATCACTAAATCTGAATATATAAAAATTTGGTTTTGGATTATCGCTTATAGGCAAAGTACATTGAGGTTAACTGCCTAAGAAGAGGTGTGTCTTCATGAAGAAATTTCTAAGAAAAACTATTAAGATTTGAAATTAGATTGGATTATTTGCAACTTATTACAGCAAAAAGGTCCTAGGCCTAATCTGCTTAATGAAAGAATGCCTCCATGAGGGATTTTCTAAGGAAACTGGTTCGTTTTCGTATGGAAAGCATAAGAACTTCCAAGCAGCCACATTTCTCTCCGAGATCTGTACTTGAACAACTAGTACAGTACAACTACAGTACTCAGCGGTCTTCCTACTTGGCCTCTAATGGGATCAGACCTGACATTTGGACGTGACATTTGGTCTTCCTATGACATTCCAAATGTCATAGGAAGACCTGACATTTGGAACTTAAGCAAGTTTATATAATACAGAGTCTGGAACCTGAATCTGAGCTCTAGTACAGTTTAACCAAAGAATTTTTTTTTTATGTATCACAAATGTAAACTACTTTAACCGAATTTTTAAGTACTCGGGGCTATTCTCAGTAAACAATTTTGCTTTGTTTTATAGTACTATGGTTTAATATTAAAAAATTAAGCTTTCCTTTACTTTTAAAGATTTATTTGACAAAATCATGGTTGAGAACAATATATTACCAAATAAGCAATATAATAGGAATTAATAATAAATATGTAACAATATATTCAAATATATTCATAAAATTCTTAAAAAATAAGTGCGATCTTTTTTCTCCTTTATCATTTGGCAGACTTTCTTTAATTTTCTGTAACGGCCTATGAAATCCAGAAAGTAAAATTTTCCATTTACTGTTAATTCGCTTTTCTATAGAAAATTGCTCTTTACATAAAATTGGAACTGAGAGCTTTGATAAGCATTTCATAAGAGGTAATTCAGCTGTGTTTCGACGCTGACTGAAACATACATCGAATTTCAACAAATTTAATTAAATTAGGTTCATTGATTAATAAAAAGTATACAAGAACTACTTCGCCTAAAAGAAAGAACGCTGCTGTAGAGGACTCTATAAGGAATTGTTCGTATTTGCATTGAGAAGCCTCGAAACCACATTACGAAATGTATTATGAAACTCTGTGTATACCACAAAACACCACAAACATGTTTTACGAAAACACCCATGCAACCAACTTATTCCTTGGGATTTGAACCCGATCGAATTACCAGTGTTTAGCGTTTTTAACCGCTTGCATGCTTGTGTGCAGCCTCGAAGAGGAACCTCTAGCGGAACCTACTGGCTCATATTCACGTTAAATGTACCGGAAAAGGTCGAAAATGTATTTACCACTGTATATAACATACTCAATCCGCAATGCAAATTCAATGTGTATCTAATAACAATGTGTACCTATACCCAATGTATATCTTAAAGCGTATGTGTATTTAATAACGTATGTGTAATTACTCATCCATGTATATGTTTTTAATCTATCTGCATGTGTAATGCGTTTCCAATGTAGGTGACCTCATTTATTTAAGTCAAATCTTCAATTATTATTCAATGCATACCCAATGTATGTGTACCTTATATCCATATATATGTATTTATTTATCTACTCCAGTATGTGTAATGTGTTCTAACAGATGACTATGCATATCCAAGTCAACTTTTTATAATAATTATATGTGTAACGTGTATCAATGCGCAACGTGTGTAATAACTTACTAACCTAGGCTGTATACAATACACTCAACGCGCAATGCATATTCAATGTGTATCGAACGTATGCGTACGCACTTATTCATGCAAATGTATACCCCTGTATGTATATCTAATATAGGTGATCTTATTTATCCAAGTCAAAACATTATAACCTTCATTATATGTTTTTAAATATGCGTGTTTACTCAATCATGTTTATGAATTAATTTAATTACCCCAATTAGTGTAACGTCTGGATGTACTATATACTTAATGCATAATTCGTCTCCAACATGCATTTAATGTATGCAGATTTAATTTATCCCTGTATCAGTATTTCTTTACTTATCTATGCTTGTGTAATGTTAGTGTAATCCAAGTTATAGGTGATTTTATATATCCAAGACAAATCACTATGATCATAACATTTTGCAACAAGTCCTGTATTCTCTCCTATGTGCTAATGTATTCTGAACCGCATAATGTTATGTATTTACCCTGTATTCTATTAAGTAGCTACTGCATATATATGTATATAATCAGTGTTATATCATGCGTATCAGTGTTTCATATTTCTATGCATATTTTAAAAGTACTTCAATGTAAAGCAAATGATATTTTGTCAAAGTATTATTCAATGTAACAATGTGTGTAACTGTAATTTATGCGGGTAATTATAATTGTTATCAAGGTCACCGTAGGAAATCTTGTAATATGCATCTTGAACGACGTATAAGACCCTGTATTTATAAATATAATCAATGCATACTAAACCGGCGAGTCGCCAGTGTGCCCCCCTTGTTGACATCTGGGCTGCTGCTGTCCTAGTTAATGGTGGACGTGGTGCTGTACTGATTAACCAGTATGGTAGAGGCACAGTGCCCACGTCCCCAGTCACTTGTATTTGTGTCCATTGGGATATAAACGACGTACTACCAGTGTTTAGAGATCTTTTCCGCATGCTTCAGTGGGCCATGAATTTCGATCAAACTCAGATATGAGAACAAATTTTTCCTAATTTTAAAGAAATATTTGGGGGTCATTCTCTTTCTTTTATTATCGATATACTTCTTTAAAATGTTTTTCTAGTTATATTTATCGTATTACTTTTACACTCCAGACGAGCTGCAGTTAGTCCTCCCATCCTTCCATATCAAATGTTACACAACTAATCGTTAAATACCGCTCTATTTTTACCGCCTATTAGTCTGGAAGAGAGCTTAGAATATTAATTGAATTTCCAGCTTAAAACTTATTAAATTATTATCTCAGTCAAAGAATATTATATATTTAATGGATGAAAAATCTTTGCAAAGCATCTTGAAAGGTTTTTAAATAAGAATTAATACAGGAGCATTAATTAAAGAACTTCACTTGTGAAGTCCGATTTCTTCAGATTTTTGTGAAGCAAAAAATAAACTGTCATTGTACTAGAGGTATCAGATTCAAATTACTTAGACGGGACAAAGACTTTTAAGCACTTGTTGAAATTTCTTTGGTTGAAACGGCATAGTTTTGAGACAGGAGTCTAGACTTGTAGTAATCTCTTGGGAGTATTAGTGTTTATTATCATGTGATCAAATTTACCATAGATTAATTCTTTCAATTCCTTTCAGAATTTTGGACCACAATAACATTGAAGTCATTGAAGATTGGTCGTTCCATGATTCCCAGATTGCAAAATTGTAAGTATAATAATATAAAGCTATTTTAAGCAAATTAATAATTATTCTGTTTCGTGAAATAACATTTCTTACGAAATGAAATTTGAAAAGAATATTTTCTGCAAACATTCACACATTTTCGTCGAGTAAGAAAATTTGTATTTTAACATGCATTAGGGATCAAAAAGTGTTTAATAAAAATTTCCATTTTTGAGGAGTAATTTTTAGTTATGCGGATGCTTCTTAATTTTTCATTCCGTGAAATAATACGAACTGTCATCCAAAACGTTTTTTATCTATTGTTTTAATACAGAGTCTGTCATAATAATAAAATTATATGTACCCTACTAAGATACGTTTATTACATACAAAAATTAATGAATAATTTGAAGGCTAGTGGATTCTTTGTAATCATCGAAATATAAGTCTAAGTAATAATTTTTATATGTTTTAAAGATTTTGGATGCTTACAACTGGCCACTTATATGTTATTCAGTTTCTTGCTCCATGGATAATGTTTGTGTACGTCTCCTCAATTCGAAATCAACTAGATTATTAGCCCAAAAGGGCTATTAATTTCGAAACGGAAATTTGCGTCTAATCACTATAAACGGCTGTACCATTTTTTAGGTTGTTGCCACCAAATATTAGCACTCTGTATTATATTTAACGAAATTAAATAATAAAGAATATGCATGATTGAATGTATGTGTTTTTTCTCGTATTGTGAAAAAAAACGATACCTAGAACCATCAAATTTTGAATAACATAGCCCTCCACCCTAATATGGGCACGTATACGCCCGAAGCTTGAATTTCGAATTTGTTTTATCATCTGTTTCATATTTTTAAACTTTAGTGAATTTTTGATTAAGAAATTCAACGATTTCAAAGCGAGCAGTGGCAACACGCTGTACGGAATAAAATATTTTTCCAGCTGCCAAGACTGTCTATCGGAAATTCTAAAGATATGCTGTTTTTAGATGTGTTTAGTCCAAAGGGGCGTTAGTCATTCTAAAAATGTTCTTAAAGGAGAGGAATTTTAAATAGCAGCAATCTAAATTTAAGAGAATGAACACTGCCAATGCTCAAAAGTCGGCCTTTAGAAACGCGTATATTTGTTTCCTACTTTAACTATATGTTCTGCTTTGCTGTTGAATATTAAGTAGTACCTCACAAAATTAACAAAGGCAGCTTCTGGGATAATTTATTTAGTGAATTGCACATAATTTTTATTCCGTATTTTCCATTATTCCCGTGAGAAGCGTAAATCAGTTTGCATAAATTAATTTAGTTCTGTTCTTCAAACTGAAGTCAGCGATGAAAATAATTTGATTTAAAAATTGATAAAAAAGAAGTTTTATTTCAACGTAAATTTTTAATAAAATTCTGTCAATTTCGAGGACAATCAAGGACAGTTTCCTCTTCTTCAAGAATGAGGTGGTGTGGTATTGTGGTGTATTTAATTATGGCAAAGCACACGAGGGCTATCTGCCTAAAGGGAGGGATGCCTTCGTGGAGGACTTTCTAAGGGAAACTGGCTCGTATACACGTTACACATGGGGAAAACCACGAAAACGCCCATGCAGCCAGCCCGTTCGCGGGATTCGAACCTCGGACCGAACTACCACTGTTCAGCGACTTTATCGCTCGGCCGCTGGTGGGCCCTTCAAGAATGAGGAGATTTAGGCAAAAATGGTTTTCCTTCTGAAAAAGAGGGGGGTATGTCTAATCGTTTTCGAAATCAGTTGTGTTTTATTTGAAATCTACGCCAATATATGGTTAAATTTTGGTCTGATTTTAGTTTCAAATAATACATTGGTGTGTTTCTCTTTCACTTGCAACTGTAGTCATTTTTATATCTGTCATATTTATTTAGTTTTCTGATACTGTAATAAAAGCCAGGAGGAAAATTCATCTTTCTGGATGAAAGGTTAGACTTCAGACATATTAGGTAATTTTTTAAAGCAGGAATGATGAAAAATGAGCAACTCCTTCGAACAACTCCGGGGAATCGAACCCTGGACGTCTGGAATACGCGTGCAGCGTACAGACCACCACACCACGAAGACACGCTAAGAAGACGGGAGAAATGCCTTATATACTCCCCCTTTTAAAGGGCGAATGAGGTTAGGGGACCCAATCGCCAAATCCTGAGTGTGGAGAATCATCATCCACCACCTTTTTAGTTCGGGCGCCACTGTAGAGACATTAGGTATTTTGGGGAAGTAGGAAAGATGAAAAATGAGCTGCGTCCTTCGCTGGAATCGAACCACGGACCTCTGGAATACGTGTCCAGCGTGCAGACCACCGCACCTCGAAGGCACGCTTAATAAGGCGGAAAAAATGCCTCATAAGATAAGTTTTAGATTGAGTGAAATTGAGTGACTTTTTATCGCGTGACCTCATATATTATAACATCTCGTAAACTGTTGGATAGGGGAAACAATTCAACTTTTCTAAAATATATTGTCTTCTACAATATTTTGCTATATTTCCATAAATATAAACAACGCAGAAAGAGTTATATCCAGATTTATAAGCGTCTGACATCTTTTAATTGAAATTGCAATAATATCGGCCGAATTTTGAATAGAATTGCTTACTTCTTCCTGATGTTTGTTTACATACGCAGATAAATCATCAGGCTATATTAGTTACCGAATAATCCATTGCAGTATGTAATAAATAACTACTTTCATATGATTATATCATTCATACGTTGATGATACTGGCACCTTAAAGCTGAACCATAATATTGTATTACCAGCTCCCAACTCATTCCCATATTAAGGATAATTACGAATCTAATCTATTTTAGTTTAATAAAAGCTGTTCTCCCTTACTGTCAGAGATCAATTCTAGTATATCACTGTTCGCGACAGCATGTACTTAGTCCGTTACGGTTTAGTATATGAGATTACGATATTGCAGCAAATAAGCTTAGTTTTGCTTTTGTAACGTATTCTCAGTATTGCATAGTTAATATTAATGCAGAATATTAAGGAAATGCGATTGAAATTTTATCAACAAAATGAGTTTAATCATAATGGCGAAATATGTCAGCAATTTTCCCCCCTTTCAAGGAATACTGTTTTACTTTGCATAATCCTCCAATTAGAGGTTAGTATATCATAATAAAAGAAGATATACAGATTAATGCATTAGATCCGTATGCATACATGCATGCATACATATATTCATACATGTATATGGATCTGGAGATATTAAAGAATTATACGTACAGGGTAAGAAGAAATAATAAAATCAAATTTTATCCCTTTCAACAACAGTATTTAAATATAGCGTCAGAAATATGCTTCGATTTTTTCCAAAGAATGCCTTTATACCTTGTATACTTCTGTGATCCTTTATTGCTATTTTATGATATTTACGAACACTATGTTTCGCTGTTTTTCTTTCAACCTCGGTATATCCCTTTGGTGTTGTTTATTCCCCGACATTTCCGCTTATGGTGTTTTCAACGTAATGTTACGACCTGGCATTTTTATTGCATGTAGAACGAACTTTTTATTTGTATTCGAAGGAAATGGGAATTTTAGAGCAAATTCGAATGTCTGTAAGAATTCGGATTTCCCACAGAGCTGTGTAAATTTTTATGAGAGTGTATATTTGTGAACAAATGCAATAAGGATTTAGCATTAAGATTATAATTCGAAATTTGCTTTGAAATTTTTTTAATTAATGCTTTTCAAGAGACAGAAACTGTAAATGCTAAATATTCATTTTAGAATGACAGAATGATTCAGGTATCGTAACCATATAAGTGTAATTTCATTTCTTAAAGTCCTTGTAAATATCCGCATTTCAACTTGTATTGCTATTAGGATTTTTAGCAGCATTTTAACAGCAGGAGAGATGAAAAATATGCAACGCTTTCGCCGGGAATCGAACCATGGACCTATGGAATACGCGCCCAGCGTGCTGACCACCATACCACGAAGGCATGCCAAGAAGGGGGGAGAAACGGCTTACAAACTTATCAGTACATACGACGAAAGGGAATATGCCTGCGCAAGTTATTCCTCCCTTTCTAGACTGAAACAGTAAAATTTTCAAATGAATCCAGAATAAAAAAGTACTCTTACGTAAAGACTGTTTTTGGTAGCTACATCTCAAGAAGTAATTATAACTTAAATTCCCCCTTCCTTGACTGTAACAACTTATATGGAAAGTAAGTGTGAAAACAGTAACTGTCACACTGAGTTGTATGAAGAAAAGAGCTAACACAACTCTTGCAGTGGAACTCTAAGACAATACTTCAAACAGATGTTGTAAGTGTAACGTCTTCCCAAACTGAGGGTCTTAAAATCTGTCTATCTCAAGAGATTGGTAATAAAAGAAGCTATGGGGGATTTTCGATTTTCATATTACGGTTCCTTTTGCACTGTACTTATGACGCGTCTTGTACGTATCTCAAGCAGTGCAAAACGCAGCTGTTAGATGTCCTTAACCTAGAACGAAGAGCAGCATAGTATCACATAGCGTGAACATATTACAAGAACCATATATCGCAGAAGGATGCCTTTCTGCCTTTTCTAGAAGTAGCAATATTCATCTTTCTAACAGGAAGGTAATAGCAACTTATACAGTGATCCACCGTCCTTCCTATTCTTATACACTCTCGGATTCTAAGTAATGGTATGACTTGACGGAGCAGATAGAATAAAAGTCATCGGTTTATTTTACCTAGAACAGCACCTCCAAGTAACAATACAAGTAACAATCCAATTGTACCTAGATGCACCTTAGATGGAGGAATGGCTATGAAACCCCTTAAGACAGGCTGCCCACAGGGGTCGTGTCTGAGCCCGACATTATGGAATCTTGTTGCCAATTCTGTATTCCAACTCTATGACGGCAAAGAAGGAGTTTGCTTACTGACATATGCGGATGACTTTCTCTTTATTGTGTCAGGACGAAGTGACTTGGAACAGAGGACCGAAGAGAACATTAACATCTTTTCAGAATGTGCAAAGAAGCACAATCTTTAAATTTCTT